TGTAAACATATATACACACACAAACATATATACACACACATATAAATAAATACACACACACACATGCACACACACATTAATGTTTTGAACCAAATGGCATATACAATTCCATATTAGTCTCTCTATTCCCAAGAACACACACACACACTAATGAATTGAACCAAATGGTATATACAATTTCATGTTAGTCTCTCTATTCCCAAGAACACACACACACACACAATAATGATTTGAACCAAATGGCATATACAATTTCATGTTAGTCTCTGTATTCCCAAGTCTCTGTATTTTATTGATGAACACACACACACACACACACACACACAGACCAAAAATCCCTATTTACTCAAAATTACCACTGGATTTACACTCCATTGGATTTACACTTGGGTAAGCGTGCATAGGGTTGGCGCCCACGAAGCAGGAGGTAAGAGCTCAAACATATCCCCAAACACCACTTCTTCCTGGGACAACAACCATTTTCACTTCATTACATTTGGAGAGTTATCAAGACACAACAGCTAGGTGAAAGCTAACAAGGCTGGGGGAAGTGTGGTGGGAAGGGAATCCTGTTGCTTCCTATAATTGGCTGTAGACAAGGGCCTAAATACCCTAAATGCACCAGATCCTGTCTCACCTTGGAAACTAAGCAGTGTCAGGACTGGTTAGCATTTGTATGGGGGACTGCCAATGAATCCCAGGTGCCGAAGGCTATTATGTTAGAGGAAGGGGATAGCAAACTCACCTCTGGTTATTCCTTGTCTAAGAAAACTCAATGAAATTAATGAGGTTGCTGTAAACTGATTGGCAATTCGAAGGCATATACGCACACAAATAAATATCCTTCTGATCTCACAGGCTAGGGTTGATGTATGACATTTTGCTGCCTGAGACAAATGTCAAAATAGCATCTCTCATCTCATATACAAGTAAACACAGTTCTTACGTCAACACTGTTGATGGTATTAAACAATTCACCATCCATCATGGATGGAACCATGCCAGTTAAAATGGAATCATAGTGCTATATTTGTGAAATATGAAAGGACCCTCAGATTACAGAGCTTTTCCTGACCATAGAAATGCTTGCTCTATATTGCTTGTTTTGATTGGCAGGGGATTCCTAGTATGTGAATAAGAAAGTTTCCTTAGCCTTGAATTCAAGGGATGAGCATTAGGATGATGTTACCATAAAGCATGTGTCCTACCACCGTTGATACAAATAACTGTAATAGTGTATCTTTCTAAAAATCAACACGAGAGCCTGTGTAACATAACTAGTTGCTTTGGGAGTCACTAGTTGGCCCTGCAGTCTTGCTTATGTGACTGAATACAGGCATACATGATGCCATCAGGCCTAAGTCTGCAGTCCTGACCAAGGGAATACAACCAATGGCCAGTCATTTCAATGTGAAACATCACAGCCTGTTTGATTTGTCCCTATTTGGCACTGAAGTGCTATCTCCTCCACACATTTTGAACAAAAAAAGATAATTTCTGGATTTATAGACCTAAGGCCCTAACATCACATGGACCTCATTTGCTGATTGACACCGTGTACACAGCTGGGTTTCATTTTTAGCAACTGAGGAAGTGGAAGCCAAAATGTTTTCCTTGTGTTGCATTTTTCAGTTCTCTTTGTTATTTCATATTTCGTTCTTTCTTTCTCTTTTCCTTTCCCTTTCTTTCTCTCCTTCCATCCCTCCATATGCATGGATTTATTCAGCCACAGCTTGCATTTTTCTTATGAAACAGCTTATTTGAAAAAAAAAACAAAACATAAAATTCAAGCATATATATATATATATATATATATAATATGCTAGGAAAATATAAGAAAAGCAGAACCACATTAAAAGTCTTCTATGTGACTAGCGCAGTGAGTTAAACCCTTGTGCCAGCAGGACTGAAGGTTGCAGGTTCGAATCCAGGGAGAGCATGGATGAGCTCCCTCTGTCAGCTCCAGCTTCCCATGCGGGAACATGAGTGAAGCCTCCCACACGGATGGTAAAGCATCAAAAACATCCGGGCATCCTCTGGGCAATGTCCTTGCAGACGGCCAATTCTCTCACACCAGAAGCAACTTGCAGTTTCTCAAGTCGCTCCTGACATTTAAAACAAAAGTGACACAGCTTGAAAATTTGGCCATGCCATCTGAGGGATTCTGGGGATGAAAGCCTGAAAAAGCATTGGTGTAAAGCTCTAGCTATAAAGGAAAGAATAGAGGAATGAATGCATAAAAGAAAGAAGAGACAAAATAATAATGTAATCACTACTTATAGTTTCAAAATTAAACAAACGAATAAGCGAAATGCCATCAGAAGATAGCACTGGTGCCAATTTTGTGTAGGAGTACATGATTTGTATTGTGTGCTACACATTTGCCTTAGTTCCATAATGTTGACTCTCTTCTTAATTTTAATGTTGGCGCCATAGATGGTGATGTGGAGATAAAGAGTGTATTGGGATCCCACCATGAAGACAGATTTCAGGGACTGTGTTTGCTCTTAAAAGGGGGGCAACAAGGGGAGATGTTGGAGTTCCTAGTCATTATGCTAAGCCTCTAAGCCTTGATTGCCTCCTCCTCCCAATTAGTTTGGCAAACAGTTTTACCAGCAGGGTTCAAGATAGGCCTCTGTATATAAACCTGTCCAACTTTGCTTGCTCAGAAGGTACTTACTTCTCTTGCTTGTTAACTCCTTCAGCCAGGCAGCATCATGGTGATGATCGGGAGCCAGCGTTGCCTTCTCCTCGCTATCTTTTTCTGCTGTCTACCCACAACGCAGAGCCACCTCTGGGCATGGTTGTATTCATTGCCTGAGTACAGTGCAGAGACAGCTTCCAAAAATGCTGGACTTCTATCTAATCTAGAGCTGAAGGTAAGAACACACTGTCATATGGGTGAGGATATTTCAGTATTATAGCATCTACTGTACTTTCCATTTTGTTTTTATTGCACCACCAAGTTTGTTTTTTTCTTGCAGTGAAAAAATAAGGTCTTTTTCTAATTGCACAATTATTGCACTATGATACCTCATCAGCTGCAACATGTACATCCCATTGAATCTTTGGATTTATAATTTGGCGGGACTCTAGAATTCACTGGCACAGAATTCAAAAAGTATCTTGGAAATCCAAAGGATTCTATGGGATGGAGCCATGCCATGGGAAATGGAATCAAAATGTTATAATGGTGTCGTGTGAAAGAATGTCCTTCCATCTTTGCTAGCTTGGTATCCTCTCAATATTGGATTGGTATCCTAATAATCACCAATTCATCGGATCCAACACATGACGACATGAGGTTGGGAAATAAGAGTTTCTTGTAATGAGGTTAAATTCAAGAAACACGAACCAGTGAGAGCAGTGTTTTACAAACTTTGGTCTACCAGATGTTTTGGTCTTCCTGACTGTTGGCCAAGCTGACTGGGGCTTCTGAGAATTTAAGTCCTAAATAGATAGAGGACCATAGTTTAGGAATCACTGAGATAGAATCTATTACAGGACAGTTTGGTGTATGCTTACGTACAGGGCCAAGACCAGCAGATCAGTTCCATGTATCCTTTCACAAGAATTTAAATAACAAATCCTTTTCTGTCTCCAAGATTCAGCCAGGCACTTGAAAGGTAAATGGAAAGCAGTAACAAATTTAATCTAAGCACTAGTCAGACAGGGACTTATTCTTAAAATGAAAGCTGCTGAGCTCCAGTCTGCCCAAAAACCATTTCCTTTTGCCTGGAAACCTTCATGCTAAACCCAGATGTCTGAGGACGGGCTGTGGTTTCATCTCTAAGAAAGGATTTGCAGTCTGCAGCCCATGTTTGGCTGACAGCGTGGATCTCTCCCTAAACATCTTCCTGTCCATTCTGACCTCTTGTGGTCTGAAATCCCCAACCAGTGAGGCTGGGAAAACATCAGAACTTGCAGTTGCATGTGACCACTGAAAGACGCAAAATGAAGCCAACAACTCCAATACAAAAAAGGGGGCAGGAATGGGTGCTTATCAAAGCAGGGTTAAATGGAGTATCTTCCAATATGTTGGTGGTGGGAAACATGTTTTTGGGCAGCACCTCCTGGTGAAAATGCCTACTAGAAGGCATTTGGGGCAAAATATTTGAAACATTATGTATATTATTATTATTATTATTATTAATAATAATAATAATAATAACATTATTAATATAGAAAATGTTTCAAATATTTTATTTGAAACAAATAATAATAATAAATATTAATTAAAAAAATATTAGTACACAGCAAACAAGGTCACTCTGCTGGCTGTTGTATTGGATCACACATCAGACACTTCCCAAGTGTCTAGGACTGTGTGATGTATCGGCAAATACTGCATGCAGATCCCAGTAAGGTGGCCTTTTGCAACTCACAGATGGTAATCTTGTCAGCACTTATTGTGTTTAAGTGCAGACCAAGGTCTTTAGGCACTCTACCCAGTGTGCCGTTCACCACTGGGACCACCTTGACTGTCTTGTGCCAGAGTCTTTGCAGTTCAATCTTTAAATCCTCATATCGTGTCAGCTTTTCCAGTTGTTTGTCATCAATCCTGCTGTCACTTGGGATTGCAACATCGACAATCCATACTTTGTTTTTTAACAGGATCGTGAGGACAGGAGTATTGTGCTCCAAAACTATGTCTGTCTGAATTTGGAAGTCCCAGAGTAGTTTGGCGTGTTCATATTCTGTAACTTTTGCAGGCTTGTGATCCCACCAGTTCTTTGTCGCAGACAGATGGTATTCATCCAATGAATCATCTGATGATAATAATAACAATTATTATTATTATTATTATTATTATTATTATTATTATTATTGCATTTTATACATAGTGACGGGGGCACAAAATTAGCATTAGAGGTTATATGTGACCTACAGATCACACTTTCCCGACTCCTGATTTAAAAGTTGAGTTGCAATTCCTGGAAATGTCCAGAGGAGGTAAACAAACACAGAGTAGTATCTTCAAACACATAGTTTGACCTGGCTCTGATCTTCTCTTTCTCTCTCCCTTCACTCCCATTTTATTTCCTCTGCAGATGACTGCATGCAGCCATGAGAAAAAATGCCCTGAAGGGTTCTTCTGTGACTACCATTTTGGGCTCTGCTTCAACCTCAGGGATGAAGGCGAATTCTGCCGCCAGGATGCCCATTGTGCCGAGGGACTCATCTGCATGTTTGGCAAATGCCAAGAGAGGGTTCCTGAAGGCCAGGAAGGTAAGGTCTGGGATAAAGGGAAGGCTCTAAACATTTTCTCCAGTGCAATTTCGGAACTAAGTCCCATGTGTGTCCAAACGGGAGTTTCCATGACAAAATCAGATTATTGTTCGCTTTTGGAAGATATGAAGAAATATGTCAAATGTATAGAAATATGTCAAATGTATAGAGCGACTTTCTCCAATCTGGTCTCCACTGCTGGAAGCATAAATTGTATGGTCCACACTGGCTAGGAATTAAGGTTACATTGAAAAACAAATGGTAGGAATCAGGTCAGGGGGAATTGAACTAATAATTGGGGCAGGTGCTAATAAAATCATATTGAGCATCACAATGGGTTAAACCCTTGTGCTGGCTGAACTATGGAGTTGATGGTGTCCCCCCCCCCCCCCTCAGCTTTTGAATATGATTTTACCAGGAGGACTGAAAACTGTAGGCAGGGCCAATTTTTATGCCCACATAGTGCCTAGCACTTTTTTATTTTCTTTCTCCCCTCCTGCTTTGCCCTAATAAAATAGCGGTAATGAGGAAGAAAGATGCAATGTGATTGTAATAATATTACCAGAACCTGAATTTGTGCTGAGAAAGGAAAATATTCAAGCATTGAAATATACAGTTTGGAAAACGTGCTCACATATAAATAATATCTTGACATGTTGAAAAGTACATTTGGCCAAAAAAAAAGGGGTGGAGAGAGAAAAACCTGGTTGTGTTGTCAAAAACTTTTATGGCCAGAATCACTGGGTTGCTGTGAGCTTTCTGGGCTGTATGGCCATGTTCCAGAAGCATTTTCTCCTGACATTTCACCCACATCTATGGCAGAGGTTGTGAGGTCTGTTGGAAACTAGGCAAGTGAGGTTTATATATCTGTGGAATGTCCAGGGTGGGAGAAAGAACTCTTGTCTGAGGCAAGTGTGAATGTTGCAATTGGCCACTTTGAATGGGCTTGCAGCTTCCAAGCCTAACTGCTTCCAGCCTAGGGGAATCCTTTGTTGGGAGAGGTTAGCTGGCCCTGATTGTTTCCTGTCTGGAATTCCCGTTATCTGAGTGTTGTTCTTTATCTAATGTCCTGATATTAGAACTTTTTTTAAATACTGGCAGTCAGATTTTGTTCATTTTCATAGTTTCCTCCTTTCTGTTGAAATTGTCCACATGCTTGTAAATTTCAATGGCTTCTCTGTGTAGCAACTTGAAGAAAGGAGGCACCAGATCTCATGTGCACAAATGTGAGCTTTTACTTTAGTTTAACATTAGAATTAAGAATTGGAACTAAAACAAAATTATGTAAACTGAATACGTTTCAGTTTGCAAAATTACTCCATTTGGAGTCATTCTCCATTCACTGCTCATCTTCTTCTGGATTTGGATGCTAATAGTCTTTTCCTTGTTCTTGGAAGGTGCCCGCTGCCATCACGACAAAGACTGTGCTCCTGAACACTGCTGTGCCCGCCATCATGGGGAGATGGTTTGCAGGAAAAGACTCCTTTTAGACCAAGGATGCTACGTCCCAGAAGGAGGTGTTGCTTTCAGCATGAACCAAGTCTGCCCCTGCTTAGAAGGACTAGTGTGCAAAAGGATACCCCTTAAGCGAGAGTAAGTATTGATGCGGATTGTGGGAAAAGAGAATGGCACAACCCTAGCATTGGTCCTTAAGCGAAACATCGGAGTGAAGAGTGCTTAGAGGGGCCAATCCTGCCATAATGCAGAATCAGGGTGCCTCCTTAACAAGCAGAGTTTTGATGCCTTTTTTTCATGTCAGGAGAGACTTGAGAAGCTGCAAGTCGCTTTTAGTGTGAGAGAATTCGCTGTCTGCAAGGACGTTGCTCGGGGAATGCCCGGATGTTTGATGTTTTTACCATCCTTGTGGGAGGCTTCTCTCATATCCCCACATGTTGAGCTGGAGCTGACAGAGGGAGCTCAACACGCTCTCCTTGGATTCTAACCGCTGACCCGTCAGTCATCAGTCCTGCCGGCACAAGGGTTTAACCCATTGCACCACCAGGGACTCCTTTGATCATAGAATCATACAGTTGGAAGAGACCTCATGGGCCATCCAGTCCAACCCCATTCTGCCAAGAAGCAGGAAAATTGCATTCAAAGCACCCCCGACAGATGGCCATCCAGCCTCTGTTTAAAAGCTTCCAAAGAAGGAGCCTCCATTACACTCCAGGGCAGAGTGTTCCACTGATGAACGGCTCTCACAGTCAGGAAGTTCTTCCTAATGTTCAGATAGAATCTCCTTTCTTGTAGTTTGAAGCCTTTGTTCCGCATCTTAGTCTCCAGGGCAGCAGAAAGCAAGCTTGCTCCCTCCTCCCTATGACATCCCCTCATATATTTATACATGTCTCCTCTCAGCCTTCTCTTCTTCAGGCTAAACATTCCCAGCTCTTTAAGCCGCTCCTCTTAGGGCTTGTTCTCCAGACCCTTGATCATTTGAGTCGCCTTCCTCTGGACACATTCCAGCTTGTCAATATCTCTCTTCCATTGTGTTGCCATGAAAAAGATTAGGTGATGATGATTGATCATAGAATCATAAAGCTGGAAGCGACCACAAGGATCATCCAAACCCACCTGAACATTAGTAAGATCTAATGAAAAGAGTTGTTTAGCAGTGGCATATGCTGCCTTGGAGTCTGATGGAGTCTTCTTCTCCGGAAGGTTTTAAGCAAAGGGTAGATGGCCATCTGTTGGGAGGGTTTTGATTGTGTTGTCCTTGTGGGCCTCCTATTGGGACATCTAGCAGAACAGAATGTAGGAAGAGGGGCTACATTAGTTTCTTATATTTTCTTCTGCCCAAGGAAGAGAATTGGGCAGGCCTTGCTCTGAGGCCCCTTCTACACTGCCATATAAGATCCAGATTAATTGCTTTGAACTGGATTATATGGCAGTGTAGACTCATATAATCCAGCTCAAAGCAGATAACATGGATTATCTGATTTGATAATATGGATTAAATGGCAGTGTAGAAAGGATCTGAGATAGGACTCCACTTTGGAACTTAGGTTTAGTTAAGTTGCAGCCAATACCACTGTCCACTTATCCCAGTTCTGTATGTTCTGCCTTTTGTTTGTTTTTGTTGAACCATCCTGTGCAAAACACAATCTGCACCTGCAGTCCAGTAATTCTCTCCCTTCTTGTCTTTCTCTCTTCCAGGGTCCCATTTGAGTACGGGACAATCAAAAATGAGTGGCGATGCCAAAATAAATAGGCAAACGGAAGATACAATGTTTGAAATTGCTGTATTTATTCCATGTAAATAATTCTGTACATAGATGCATTCTGTTCTCTTCTTTCTGTTGAATGTTTGCAAAATAAAGATGTTGGAACTGTGTAATCCAAATAACATGAGTGTCTGGTAATTATTAAAAGAAGAAATCGATGCTGGCAGCAAAGTTGAAAGTAAATTGACGTGTGTTGTAGGCATATGGATGTTTAGAGAGAAGTAATATATAGTGCAGTATTTCTCATCCTTCCTAATGCCACGACCCCTTAATACAGTTCCTTATGTTGTGGTGACCCCCAAACATAACACTATTTTCGTTGCTACTTCATAACTGTAATTTTGCTACTGTTATTAATCGTAATGTAAATATCTGATATGCAGGATGTATTTTCATTCAATGTACCAAATTTGGCACAAATACCCAATATGCCCAAATGTGAATACTGGTGGGATTGGGGGAGGATTGATTTTGTTATTTGGGAGTTGTAGTTTCTGGGATGTATAGTTCACCTACCATCAAAGAGCATTCTGAACTCCATCAATGATGGAATTGAAATAACTTAGCACACAGAACTCTCACAACCAAAAGAAAATACTGGAAGAGTTTGGTGGTCATTGACCTTGAGTTTTGGAGTTGTAGTTCACCTGCATCCAGAGAGCACTGTGGACTCAAACAATGATGGATCTGGACCAACTTGGCACAGATACTCAGTGTTCCCAAATGTGGACACTGGTGGATTTTGGGGGAAATAGACCTTGACATTTGGGAGTTGTCATTGCTGGGATTTATAGTTCACCTACAATCAAATATCATTTTGAATCCCCCTAATGATATAATTAGGCCAAACTTCCCACACAGAACCCCCATGAGCAACAGAAAATACCATGCTTTCTGATGGTCTTTGGTGATCCCTCTGACACCCCCTCGCGACCCCCAGGTTGAGAAACACTGATACGTATAGCATGTGCAGTGGGGTTTACTCCCAGGTTTGTGGCTTTAATCCAGAAGCAATTATTAGATCTCCATAAAATTATCATCTATTTTCTGTGTCTTGGGTAGTTTCCAGTTCAGGACTACCCCAGGACCTAAGATTTCAACACCAAATTAGCTTTTCCAAGATGTGAGCAAGGGCATAGGTCTGGATTAGTGTTTAGATCAGGCATGGGCAAACTTCCCCCCTCTAGATGTTTTGGACTTCAACTCCCACAAGGAATTGTGGGAATTGAAGTCCAAAACACCTGGAAGGCTGAAGTTTCCCCATCCCTTGTTTAGATGATACACAGCTATGGTCATCAGAAGGACATTTTATGGGTGCATCTACACTATAGAAATAATGCAGTTTGGAACCACTTTAACTACCATATCTCAAAGCTATGGAATCCTGGGAGCTGTAGCTTGGTGAGGTCCCAGCACTCTCTGACTTAGAAGGCTAAGGACCTTGCAAAACTACAACTCTCGTGATTCCATAGCATTGAGCCATTGCAAGTGGTGTCAAACTATTACTTCTGTGCTGTTGATGCATTCCAGTTTTTTGGTGGGAAGTCATATTTTATGTGTGTGATTAGTCAGAATCGAGAGCTTGAGCTGAAATGTGAACTATAACAAGAAAAAAGAAAATACTGATATGCCTTATATGTGGCCTGTCGTTATGGTAACACATTTGCTAGACTCATACCTTCCAGTAGTCTGCATTTCAATGCAGTAAGGAATGTTACATTTCAATAGAAAAAAGGAGAAGTGAGTATGTTTTCCAGCTGGGGGTATAGCTCAGTGGTAGAGCATTTGACTGCAGATCAAGAGGTCCCTGGTTCAAATCCAGGTGCCCCCTCTTTTCCTCCAAAATTCAGGAAATGTTATATCTTTATTTAAATAACAAATCTAATGTTCTGTCTCTGGGAGGAAAAATAAATTTGTTGTGTTTGGAAGAGCAGACACCTCTTCGTGCTATTTAAAAACAAATGAATCTCACAACCTACACACTGGGAGACCAACTGACACAGTTTAGCTCTAACAGCAGATGTAAGATGCTAACCTAACATTATACATTCTAGGTTGCATCTACACTATAGAGTTAATGCAGTTTGATGCCACTTTAACTGCCATAGCTCAATGCCATGGATTTATAGTTTTACATTGTCTTTTCTGTCAAAAAGCACTGGTGTCTCAACAAATTAGAAGCACTCTATTTCTGGTGTAATTGTAAAGAGACTACCAGTATAAAGAGGCTACCAGTATTAAAAAATAACTCTAAAATTACAACAGCAAAACAACAGAGGGAAAACAATCAGGGACATCTAATCACCTCTCAACAAAAGATTCCCCCAGGCACTGCCAGGCCATCAAATGCTAATCAAGGTGGTCAATTGAAACATTCACACCTACCTCCAACAGACAAGAGTCCTTTGTCCCACCCTGGACTTTCCACAGATATATCTGTCCGAACTGATCTCCCTCTACGTCCCACCTCGGAGTTTAAGATCTTCTGGGGAGGCCCTGCTCTCGGCCCCGCCTCAATCACAAGTGAGATTGGTGGGGACGAGGAGCAGGGCCTTCTCAGTGGTGGCCCCTCACCTATGGAATTCACTCCCTGGGGAAATTAGATCAGCGACATCCCTCCTTTCCTTTAGAAGGAAATTAAAAACATGGATTTGGGACCAATCTGGCTGATAAATAAAGGACTACGACGACGGATAGGAATAGACAAAGTGGAATGAAGTATGGACTCTGAGTTGGCGAATGCTGAGCATGAGATTGGTTTATTGATTGTGATATATATTGATTGTTGTAATTGTTTTAATTGTTATAACTGTTTAACTGCTGTTTTTATACGTTTTTGTATTATTGTGTAGGCATCGAATTGTGCCTGTTTGTAAGACGCCCTGAGTCCCCCCTCGGGGGTTGAGAAAGGCAGGGTAGAAGCACACGAAATAAATAAATAAATAAATAAATAAATAAATAAATAAATAAACCCATTTTTCTAGTTCCAACAGACCTCACTTCCTCTGAGGATGCTTGCCATAGATGCAGGTGAAACGTCAGGAGAGAATGCCTCTAGAACATGGCTAAATAGCCCGAAAAAACCTACATCAACCCCGCAAAGAGAATTATTTTTCATAGATCAGTTCCTTCATAGAATGGTTTAAACTAGGCATGAGCAAGCTTTGACCCTCCAGGCTTTGACCCTCCAGGTGTTTCGGATTGTAACTCCCACAATTCCATAATCCCACAATTGTGGGAGTTGCAGTCCAAAACGCCTTGTTGGAGCATGCAAGGAATCAGTTAATGTGTGTGTGTGTCAAGTTAAAACATTGTCCAATCACATCATCTGGTTGTTCCATTTTCCTATGTCTGTTACACTGCATTTGCAGATGCTTGCTCAAAAAGCCAAGTCTTGACTTTTTTCCGGAATGTTAAAAGGGAGGGGGCTGATCTAATATTCCTAGGGAGGGCATTCCATAGCCGAGGGGCCACCACTGAGAAGGCCCTGTCTCTCATCCCCGCTTGTGACTTGTGACAAAGGTGGGATCAAGAGCAAGGCCTCCCCGGACGATCTTAAAGTCCTAGACTTTAAGGACATTATGTAAAAGGACATTATATAATTTGGTGCAACTGATCCCATTGTATATATGTTGTTCTGAACAAAGAAGAGTAAACTACTTGTTCTTTGTTGTTCACATGTGTGGCATATTTTCTTTCTCTGGCAAGGCAGTGTGTGAGCTGATCAAATGTGAACTACACCTGGTTTATTTTACATTACGCCACACACCTGGAGGGCCAAAGTTTGCCCATGCCTGATTTAAACAATATATTTATCTGGTTTTTCTCCTGATCTTTCTCCCCAATGGCATATAAGGCATTCTGCACATGTTCAGAGGCTTTGAGGATATTATAATAACAATCATGATGTTCCAGGCCTGAAAAATTACTACAATTTCTAGGTCATATATTTATTTTAAAACATAGCCCATTCCACATACACTGTCAGTCCCTGTTGTTATTTTAGAAACTACCAACCAATGTGTGTTATTTAAGGACGTTTCTTGTAGAGTCTTGACATTTTCCACTGGGTAGAAAGAAACAGAAGTGATCGCGTCATCAAGAAGAGGAAATACTTACCCACTTCCTGTCTTGTAAGAATACATCTGCTGCAAAAACCATATTGTGCAGTTTCGTTTGGCAAAGAACAGGAAGAAAACAAACCAGCCTTTAGTTTGAGAACATTTTCTGCCCCATCATAATCTTTCAGGGACTTTTAAAAAACCTCATGATTGGTTTATTATTCAGCAAAAAGGCAACATTTGCTAGCTTGGTCCCAACAGATAAAAGGCAGCTTTACAAAACTAAAACAAATAAAATTGTTTTATACTAGCCATCCCCTGCCACATGTTGCTGTGGCCCATTCTGCATATATGTGATTTGTGTGTATATATGTGTATGTGTGTTTGTATATATTTGTGTATATGTTTATATGTGTGTGTTTGGATATATATGTGGTTTTGCGCATGCATTGTAGTGTATTTTTAATTGGGGGGGGGGGGTTAAGTCTCTTCTGCAGTGTTTTTCAGTGTTTTTATGAGTGATGGTCACTCATTGGCCTGATAGGTGTATTGTGTCAGAATTTGGTGTCAATTTGTCCAGTGGTTTTTGAGTTATGTTAATCCCACAAACTAATATTACATCTTTATTTATATAGACTAGTCGTCCCTTGCCATGCGTTGCTGTGGCCAAGTCTGGTGATCTGGAAAATAAAGTAATGAGAAAGTGTTAGTTTGTAATATATGTAATTTCTTTATGCTTGGTGGGTAAACAGTATTCCTTGCTGTTTCTTTGACAGTGTTGATGTGGAGAGTGTCTGGTTTGCCTACTCTGGAACATGCAACATATAATTGTCCTTCTTAAGGGGTCCCTTTCAAATCTATGATACTATATCTCTGTGTGTGTGTGTGAATCATATATATCTGTCTATATCTGTGGCTGGATGGCTGTCAGGAGGGCTTTGATTACATTTTCTTGCCCTGATGAAGGGAGTTGAACTGGATGGCCTTAAGTATTTAAGACAAGCAGACAAATGTCAGCATGCTGTAAGAAGCAAAGACCACCAGCATTGAAGCAATGGTCCTCTGCCATCAACTCTGCTGGACCGGCCACGTTGTCCGGATGCCCGACCACCGTCTCCCAAAGCGGTTTTTCTACTCCAAACTCAAGACTGGAAAACGGAATGTTGGTGGACAGGAAAAGAGATTTAAAGATGGGCTCAAAGCCAACCTTAAAAATTCTGGCATAGACACTGAGAACTGGGAAGCCCTGGCCTTTGAACACTCCAGCTGGAGGTCAGCTGTGACCAGCAGTGCTATAGAATCTGAAGAGGCACAAATAGAGAGCGAAAGAGAAAAACGTGACAAGAGGAAGATGCATCAAGCCAACCCCAACCAGGACTGCCTTGCACCTGGAAGCCAATGCCCTCACTGAGGGAGAAGATGCAGATCAAGAATTGGGTTCCACAGTTACCTACGGACCCACCAACAGAACACCGACCTTGGAGGACCATAATCCTTGGACTATGAGGGATCACCTAAGTAAGTATTTTCTGTTGGTTATGGGGGTTCTCTGTGGGCAGTTTGCCCCAATTCTGTCGTTGGTGGGGTTCAGAATGCTCTTTGATTGTAGGTGAACTATAAATCCCAGCAACTACAACTCCCAAATGTCATGATCTATCTCCCCCAAAATCCATCTGTGTTCACATTTGGGCATATTGAGTATTCATGCCAAGTTTGGTCCAGATCCATGATTGTTTGAGTCCACAGTGCTCTCTGGATGTAGGTGAACTACAACTCCCAAACTCCAGTTCAATGCCCACCAAACCCTTCTAGTGTTTTCTGTTAGTCATGGGAGTTCTGTGTGCCAAGTTTGGTTCAATTCCATAATTGGTAGAGTTCAGAATGCTTTTTGATTGTAGGTTAACTATAAATTCCAGCAACTACAACTCCCAGATGACAACATCAAATTTTTTTAGTGATGATCACTTGTTGGCCTAGTAGGTGTATTGTGTCCAAATTTGGTGTCAATTTGTGCAGTGGTTTTTGAGTTATGTTCATCCCACAAACGAACATTACATTTTTATTTATATAGACTAGCCATCCCACGCATTGCTGTGGCCCAGTCTGTGTATATGTGCTTTGTGAGTGTATATATGTGTGTATATACGTGCGTTTGCATGTGTGTGTGTGTGGTTTTGCACATGCGTTGTAATGGGGTTTTTTGGCTTTTGAAGTCTCTTCTGCTGTGTCTTTCCATGTTTTTATGAGTGATGGTCACTCGTTGGCCTGATAGGCGTATTGTGTCCAAATTTGGTGTCAATTCGTCCAGTGGTATTTGAGTTATGTTAATCCCACAAACGAACATGACATTTTTATTTATATAGATTGAACCAAGGGAGGCTGCAAGTCTATATACATAGCTGAGAATAAACCACTTTGAACTCAGCTATTTCTACTCCCGCTTCATTTTAGAGTAAATATACATAGGACTGCACTGTTAAATATACCACCGTTTGTATAACACTATTTACTTTAGTTAATTTTATATGCCTTCAAGTCAACTCCAGTCTATGGAAATCCCATCTCAAAGGATTTTCTTAGTAATATCTATTCCAATGAGGTCTACCACTGTTTCCCTCTAAGGTTGCAAATGTGTGATTTACACAAGGTTATGCATGGGTTTCTGTCTCTGAGGAAAGATTCAGATCTCGACATGCATCCAGACTGTAGAGTTAAGGCAGTTTAATGCCACTTTAATTGCCCTGGTTCAATGCTATGGAATTCTGGGAGTTGTAACATGATTTCCTTTCCTGGGTTATAAATGTCATTTCCTAATTGGTTCGATCATTTAAAAAAATGGGAAAAGTGTATTAAACTGAAAAAACTTTGTTTTTGAAGGACATTGTGCGGCACATTTTGCTATAGTTTTTCAATTAATATCTCATGGAGTTTCAACCAATTTAACATTGTTTGTGGCAGCCACAAAAACTAAGATAGTATAGTAACTACTTTCAAAGTAAGTATTGCACACTTTAACAGGAAATAACACTTTCAAACAAGGAACAGATTTTTTTTCCAAATGTTGTTACATTGTGTAATAGAGTTAATTGTACAGAACAGGTAACAACGACTTTCAAAGTAACATTTTTAAACCAGGAACAGAACGTTTTTAAAATGTTGTTGCATTGTGTAATCGAGCCAATTGTATAGAACAGAGATTCTCAAACTTTTTCAGCTGCTAAGCCGTTTTGTAAGCAAAAGTTTCTCACGGAGCCCCAATAAATGTTTATATATGATTTATTTATTTCGAACATTTATATCCTGTGCTTCTCACCCCCGAAGAGGGACTCAAGGTGGTTTCTATTCTATAGTATAATAATAATAATAATAATAATAATAATAATAATAATAATAGCAGCAACCCCAGAGACAATCTAGTTCAACTCCCTTCGACCATGCAGAAAAAGCACAATCAAAGCACCCCCAACAGATGGCCATCCAGTCTTTGTAATAATAATAATAATAATAATAATAATAATAATAATAATAATAATAGCAATAATAATAGCAGCAACCTCGAAGACAATCCAGTTCAACTGCCTTCTGTCATGCAGGTAAAGCACAATCAAAGCACCCCAACAGATGGCCATCCAGTCTCTGTAGTAATAATAATAATAATAATAATAATAGCAGCAACCCCAGAGACAATCCAGTTCAACTCCCTTCTGCCATGCAGGAAAAGCAGAAAGCACTCCCAACAGATGGCCATCCAGCCTTTATAATAATCATAATAATAATAATAATAATAATAATAATAATAATAATAATAATAATATCCAAACTCCTCTGGGACTTCCGGATTCAGACAGACAGAGTTTTGGAGCATAATACTCCTGACCTCACAATTGTGTTAAAAAACAAAGTATAGATCGTATTGTCGAAGGCTTTCATGGCTGGAATCACTAGGTTCTTGTGGGTTTTTTTGGGCTATAGGGCCATGTTCTAGAGGCATTTCTCCTGATGTTTCGCCTGCATCTATGGCAAGCATCCTCAGAGGTAGTGAGGCCTCACTACCTCTGAGGATGCTTGCCATAGATGCAGGCGAAACGTCAGGAGAAATGCCTCTAGAACATGGCTCTATAGTCCGAAAAAACCCACAAGAACCTAGTGAATCATCGATGTTGCAATCCCAGGTGACAGCAGGATTGAAGAGAAACAACTGGAAATGCTGACACGATATGAGGATTTAAAGATCGAACTGCAAAGACTCTGGCACAAGCCAGTCAAGGTGGTCCCAGTGGTGATCGGCACACTGGGTGCAGTGCCTAAAGGCCTTGGCCTGCACTTAAACACAATCAGTGCTGACAAAATTACCATCTGTGAGCTGCAAAAGGCCACCTTACTGGGATCTGCGCACATTATTCGCCGATACATCACACAGTCATCGACACTTGGGAAGTGTCCGACGTGTGATCCAATTCAACAGCCAGGAGAGTGTCTGCTGTGGACTCATCTCGTTGTGTTTAAAATAATAATAGTAACCCCAGAGACTATCCAATTCAACTCCCTCCTGCCATGTAGGAAAAGCACAATCAAAGCACCCCCAACAGATGGCCATCCAGCCTTTGTGGTAGCAGCAGCTGTAATACTAATAATAATAATAGCAGCAACCCCAGAGACTATTCAGTTCAACCCCCTTCTGCCATGAAGGAAAAGCACAATCAAAGCACCCCCAACAGATAGCCATCCAGCCTTTCTGGTAGCAGCAGCAGCAGCAGCAGCAGCAATAATAATAATAATAATAATAATAATAATAATAATAATAATAGCAGCAACCCCAGAGACTATCCAGTTCAACTCCCTTCTGCCATGAAGGAAAAGCACAATCAAAGCACCCCCAACAGATGGCCATCCAGCCTTTCTGGTAGCAGCAGCAGTAATAATAATAATAGAAGCAACCCCAGAGACTATCCAGTTCGACTCCTTTCTGCCATGTAGGAAAAGCATAATCAAAGCACCCCCCAACAGATGGCCATCCAGCCTTTCTGGTAGCAGCAGCAGTAATAATGGATGTATGGGATCCTGTTGGGAGTTGTAGTTTGATGAGCCATTAGCACTCTGGCCAAAGAGACCTTGGAAAACTTCTATGGCTGGATGCTATGGGATCCATAGCATGGATGCTGGGAGTTGTAGTTTGGTGAGTCATTAGCACTCTGACCAAAGAGGTTTAAAAAGACCTTGGAAAACTACAACTCCCAGGAGCCTATAGCATTGAGCCATGGTAGTTAAAGATTCTATATAGTAGACCTTCCTTCCTTGCAATCTAGAGCAGGCATGGGCAAACTTGGGCCCTCCGGGTATTTTGGACTTCAACTCCCACAATTCCTAACAGCCTATCGGCTGTTAGGAATTGTGGGAGTTGAAGTCCAAAACACCCGGAGGGCCCAAGTTTGCCCATGCCTGCTCTAGAACTGCATAACATTCCCTCTAGGGGCGGGGCTTGATCACAGGCCCCGCCCCTTTCTGCCTGACGTCACCAGCAGAGGTTATAAAGGGAGGCGGGGGCGCGCGTAGTGTTGAGGAGGCTGCGGGGCTCGTAATGGGGCAGCTCTTTGCAAAGCTCTTGAGCGTCTTTGGAAGCCGAGGTAGAGCACTTGCCTTTTCCTTTGTTCTTATGACACCCATAGACTTTTTAAAATGGTAGACTACCCTCCTCTCTTTCCCCCACTTGGTCTGCACTTTGCCTCGTTCCCAGTCTTGTTTTCCCCAGTTCCCCCATTGTTTTGCTCCTTTGCATCCTTCTCCTTCTCTGTTTTCCTTCCCATTCACTTGCTTATTTGTTTTGTTTCTCTTCTTCCTTTCTTTCTGGATTGCTTCGCCTATTTATTTATAGTTTTGTTTTTTTGTTTTTTGCTAGCTGTTCTCTTACCTTGTTTCTTTGGCACTTTCTACCTTGTGTTTTGTTTTGTTTTTCCCCTTTTGAATATTCCTTTGACTGGTTCCTTTCCCACCCCTTTGTTCCTCTTGGGCGCGTCTAAACTGTGGAATTAGTGCGGTTTCATACCACTTCCAACCGCCATGGAATCCTGGGATTTGTAGTTTGGTGAGGCCCCAGTACTCATTAGCAGAGAAGGCTATAAAGGCCTTGTAAAACTACAACTCTTGGGAATTCCATAGCATTGAGCTATGACAGCTCAAGTGGTACCAAACTGCTTTAAGTCTACATTGTGAATGGCTATGTAATCTTGGGATTTGTAGTTTAGTGAGGACCGAGTACTAATTGGCAGAGAAGGCTAGTAAAACTACAACTCTTGGGAATTCCATAGCATTGAAGTATGACAGCTCAAGTGGTACCAAACTGCATTAAGTCTACAATGTGGATGGATATGGAATCCTGGGATTTGTAGTTGGGTGAGGACCCAGTACTCTTTGGCAGAGAAGGCTATAAAGACCTTGTACATTGAGCTATGACCGCTCAAGTGGTACCAAACTGCATTAAGTCTACAATGTGGATGGATATGGAATCCTGAGATTTATAGTTTGGTGAGGACCCAGTACTCGTTAGCAGAGAAGGCTATAAAGGTTTTGTAAAACTGCAACTCTTGGGAATTCCAGAGCATTGAGCTATGACAGCTCAAGTGGTACCAAACTGCATTAAGTCTACAATGTTGATGGCTATAGAATCCTGGGATTTGTAGTTTGGTGAGGACCCAGTACTCTTTGGCAGAGAAGGTTATAAAGGTCTTGTAAAACTACAACTCTTGGGAATTTCAGAGCATTGAGCTATGACAGCTCAAGTGGTACCAAACTGCATTAAATCTACAATGTTGATGGCTATGGAATCCTGGGATTTGTAGTTTGATGAGGACCCAGTACTCATTAGCAGAGAAGGCTATAAAGACCTTGTAAAACTACAACTCTTGGGAATTCCAGAGCATTGAGCTATGACAGCTCAAGTGGTACCAAACTGTTTTAAGTCTACATTGTGGATGGCTATGGAATCCTGGGATTTGTCATAAATGCAGTCAAATTCGCCCTTGTGAACTGACACTCTGGGTGCATCTATACTGCCAAATGATTGCAGTTTTGCAGTTTGATACCCCTTGGACTGCCATGCTTTGAAATTTTGGGCACTGTAATTTTACAAGGTCCTTAAAGGTAAAGTAATTAAGTCTAGTTGTGTCCAACTGGGGGCAGTGCTCATCTCCATTTCTAAGCTGGAGCCGGCATTGTCCATAGACATCTCCAAGTTCATGTGGCCAGCATGACTGTATGGCGTCCTGACTGCCGTTACATTTCTGCAGAAGCGGTACCTATTGACCTACTCACGTTTGCATGTTTTCAAACTGCTAGGTTGGCAGAAGCTGGGGCTAACAGGAGGAGCTCACCCCGCTTCTTGGATTTGAACCACCAACCTTTTGGTCTGCAAGTTCAGCAGCTCAGCGGCTTAACGCACTCTGCAGCAGGGAACCACAAGGTCCTTAGCCTTTGCAAAAGAATTATGGTTTCTCACTAGGCTACAACTCCCAGGATTCCATAGCATTGAGCCATGGCATTGAAAGTGGTGTTAAACTAGATTAAATATACACTGTAGATCTAGCCCCATCAGCTGAGGATCCCTTGAATGGTGGGTATGGAGTTGGAGGAGAATGGCTTTTCTACCTTTTATGGGAGCTCTGAGTCCCAGGTTTGATTTCACAATCCTGCAAAAGTAAGGGCCATAAAACATGTTTAATTATATGCTGGCTATAGAAAACCCTGGGCTCCTCGATCTAAAAACAACTTCAGATTTGTGCCATCACGTAGTGATATGCCCTTCATATTCTGGGATATAAGGCTGTGTGGAAGGGCTCTCAGTTGTCGAAGGCTTTCGTAGCCAGAATCACTGGGTTGCTTTTAGATTTCTGGGCTGTATGGCAATGTTCCAGAAGCATTCTCTCCTGATGTTTCACCCACATCTATAGAAAGCATCCTTAGAGGTTGTGAGGTCTGTTGGAAACTAGGCAAGTGAAGTTTATCTTCCAACAAAGGATTACCCCAGGCAGGAAGCAGCCAGGCTTTGAAACTGCAGGGCTATTCAGTGCTAATCTAGATGGCCAAATGCAACATTCACCCCTGCCTCAAGCAGACAAAAGATCTTTCTTCCACTCTGGACATTCTCTTCTGACATTTCACCCACACCTATGGCAGGCATCCTCAGAGGTTGTGAAATTTGTTGGAAACTACGCAAGCGGGGTTTATATATCTGTGGAATAATGTCCAGGGTGGGAGAAAGAACTCTTGTCTGTTTGAGGCAAGAGTTAATGTTGCAATTGGCCGCCTTGTTTAGCTTTGAATGGCTTTGCAGCTTCAAAGCTTGGCTGCTTACTGATGGGACGAAGAAAAATAGGCAAAGAAAGGAGCTGGCAGGGAAAATACAGACATTTCTTAGAGGTTGAGGAGAATTCCTATTTTCCGGTTCACTTTCCATTTGGATCCAGGCAACCTGGGGATATCAACTGGATCTGGACTGGAGAAATAAATTTTCCTTTGAAGTCTTGAGTATAAGAAATATTAATGCCATTGAATCTTTTCATTTATTTCTTTTCATTGATCACTAGATTTCTTGGGAAGCATCCTACTCCAATGAAACTGAAATCTTTGTTTGCTCAGGCAAATATTTCCTGGCAGGAACGTTTTCCATCCTTTTGTCCTCACACTTCTTTCATGTTGATCTGTTCTTTCTGATCTTTCCTGAATGATCCTGCTGGGAATCCTTAAATTGAACTTCCTCAAGACCTTGCATAGAGGCTTGAAGAAATGAAGATTTCCCTTGTACTGCCTGCTGTACACTCAGGACCCTTCCACACAGACATATAACCCAAACATCACGGCAGATAAATCCACGATATCTGCTTTGAACTGGGATATCTGAGTCTAGACTGCCATATAACCCAGTTCAAAACATTGGGATTGTTTACAACTGTGTGGAAGGGGCCTCAATGTACATAAATTTACAGATTTGTGGGCATGTGAGTTAGGAAGTCCTTTTTTCTCGTAGATTTGTGTCGCAAAAGAAACAGTGATGTACACACACATATACATGCAGATATGTACAGGCATACCTCATTTGCAATGCCATATTCTTTATCAGACTTGCACATGTGCACATGGTTTGGACACAGACATTCCTCCGTCTGTTACCATATCTTTTTGATTTTAGGACTCCATCAATTGCCAGACACTCACTAATTTCAGTACCACCAACAGAACATACAACTCTTTATCTATATAAATAAAAATGTAATGTTTGTTTGTGGGATTAACATAACTCAAAAACTACTGGATGAATTGACACCAAATTTGGACACAAGTCACCTAACAACCCAATGCATTTCCTTCACTCAAAAAATGGATTTTGTCATTTGGCAGTTCTAGTTGCTGGGATTTATAGTTCACCTATGATCAAAGACCATTCTGAACCCCACCAACGATGGAATTGAACCAAACTTGGCACACAGTTCTCCCATGAACAACAGAAAATATTGGAAGAGTTTGGTGGGCAGTGTCCTTTGGTGTCCTTTGGTTTTGGAGTTGTAGTTCACCTACATCCAAAGATGACTGTGGACTCAAACAATGATGGATTTGGACCAAACTCTACAAGAATACTCAATATGCCCAAATGTGAATACTGGTGGAGTTTGGGGAAAATAGAATTTTGACATTTGGGAGTTGTAGTTGCTGGGATTTATAGTTCATCTACAATCACAGAGCCCCACCAATGATAGAATTGGGCCAAACCTCCCACACAGAACTCCCATGTGGGCCACAGCAACGCGTAGCAGGGGATGGCTAGTATCTATATAAATAAAAATGTAATGTTTGTTTGTGGGATTAGCATAACTCAAAAACTACTGGATGAATTGACACCAAATTAGGACACAATACACCTATCAGGCCAACGAGTGACCATCACTCATAAAAACACTAAAAACCACAGAAAAGGGACTTTAAAAGCCAAAAAAAACCCCAAACATTATAACGCATGCACAAAACCACACACACACACACATCTATATAAATAAAAATGTAATGTTTGTTTATGGGATAACATAACTCAAAAACCACTGGACGAATCGACACCAAATTTGGACACAATACACCTTTAAGGCCAATGAGTAACCATCACTCATAAAAACACTGAAAACCACAGCAAAGGGGACTTAAAAAGCCATAAAATAAAAAATACATTACAACGCATGCACAAAACCACACACACACACATATATACACAAACACATATATACATATAAACACATAGGTAAAGGTGTACACATATGGAAATGAGAACCAAATTCTGGGCGTTGGTGCTTATTTCCATATGTGTATATACACATATGAGTCCCCCTGAAGGGGTTGAGAAGGGCAAGATACAAATAATTGAAATAAAAAAATAAATACACACCTGTACACACAAAAAACACATATACACAGACTCTAGGATTATTTTTAGAGATGTTTATATGGAGGGGAAAGTGCATCTTAGAATCAAAGCAGTTCAATAGTTAAATGTTAAGAAGTTACATTGGAGGTGCATATTGCTGCATCAATTAATCCACATATATTCCACATTTATGCATCAGGCTTTGTATACTTTGACGTTCAG